TAGATTCAACGACAACCCTACCCATCAGGGCCAACCTGCTCAAGGTGGTCCCGGTGATACTGATCCAATCGTTGACGATGATGTAAATGCGAATGTGTTTCGCGATCACATGGCCGCAGAGATGTGGGAGGACTACCAGAACATCCTACATGAGCGCAATTTAGTAGACAATCACTCACTCATTAGATATCACGAAGATCCAGAGGACATCGAGGACATCGACCAATATTATGGGAGTTGAGGACGATAATGAAAGTGATGCTTAGGAGTACGACAACATACATAGCGCTACAAATGAAAATGTGCTGCATATCAACAAGTGAGGTTCATGTAACGCGCGATGCAAACAAATGAGAACATACGGCAATGAGTGCGACAAAAAGTAAAACATGACGATGACAATGTTTAAAACACACCAAATTCCCCCCTGGCAGCCTGGTCAAGAACAGATTGCAAGTAGGGGATCTGTCTTTCAGGCTTGGCAGCCAAGTAGATGGAGCATACTGCTGGGCTCCTTGCGAACATGTTCATGAGGGTAACGGACTCATCTTCTGAAATGAGTTCCTCCTCCTGCATGGCAAGCACAGCCTCTAGCCTTTCATCCAACACCCGAGTTTTGTTTTGGTCGGTGTTGGATGCTGATTTGCGAAGGCTGTCCGTCAGGCTATTGATGGAACCTTGCAGGTTCATGAAGACGGCAGTGCTGGCAGTGTCTTTGGCAGCCCTAGAGCCTTTGCGACTGCGGGCGGCTTGACTTTTACCGTGTGTCAACAACTTCGGCTTTTTGTCGACATTGGAGGCGTGGGATGAATCTACAAGTGACATTGTAGTTTGGGCGGTGCTGGGGGACATAATCATGTCGGAATGCGAGCGTTTGCCCATACTAGAGGGCGCAATAGAAGAGGAGGGAGGAGGGATGTTCATAGAACTTCTAGCAACTCCAGGAGTGACGGATGGGAGGGCTGACTCGATCTGGTCCCATCCAGCTTGTGGCACAGCAGCGACTTCAAGTCCAGATCCACTGGCTTCAGCAATAGGACCATCTGATGCTTGTACAGATAAGGAGGATCCACCGGCCTCGGAATTGACAGGAATAGCTGCCGATGCCTCTGCAGCCAAGGAAGCTGGATTGTAGGTGGCTGCCCCCCTGAGCACCACTCCTGTTTGGGAGAATCTCTGACATCTTTTGCCAGTGTCTCCATCCATTGTTTTGAAAGGTTCATTACCTGAAAATAAGAAGTGACTAGTAGACAGAATCATAAGCACGGACATACCTTGTTGGAATTGTTAGCGGTAATAAATTGGTTCCACTGGAGTTCTGCTGCTTCCCCCTGAATATTGGCACCGTTAACATTGTCCCAATGACAGCCCAATCGATTGTTGCGATATCTCTCGATGGCATTGTAGATTTGTTTCAACTATAGGAGTATTAATAATAAGTTAGTGATGCAGCTAGGGAGTAGGATACAGAAACGTACTGCTTGCCATTTCCTCTTACACTGTGCCATGTCCTTGTCTGGGCCTTGCTTCTGAAGTCCCACAAGTTCTTTGCTGCCTCATTGAAGGTCTCATCTTTGAAAGTTGTCCCAGCGATCTTTGACACCTGCGATTAAAGATAGACCAGGAATGCATTGACCTCCTCCTCACACCACTGGGCTTTGGGTTTACTTTTGCCCCTCTGAGTCATTATGAAGAGTTTGAAACTGAGTGTAGAGGATGATGGCAGCTACAGCTGAGACGATCTGTGTTTGCTGATAAGATCTTTCGCTCCTGCAAGGCATGATTGGGAGGTAGGTTTCATTAAAACTCCGCCATAAATGGCTTTCCGTGCCATTCCAACGCAACCTGTACATAAACATAAATTTTGTTCAAACATCGGTTGCTGAACGGGCTCTTAGTATGGGAATGTGTGACAATGCTGCGACATGGCACCGTCGCAGTCTGTGAGTGATAGAAGGGGGATCATGTCAGTCTCGTCAAGTGTTCTTAATGTCCCCCATATATGTTTTGGTTGTAAGGCCATTCAAGGCTTTTTCTTGAAAGATAGCTTTGGAAATTTTCACCGGATCTAGAACACCGTGGAATTCATGAAAATGTGGTCACATTGCACCATAGTAGCCTGCGAGGGACCTAATTCAGAAGTGCCTTTCATTGTGATACAACTCGCGACAACTTCACCTTGACTCTGAGACGAAGATGGTGAGATTTGACTGTGACCGGTTCGACCAATGGCCCATGATCAATCTGAGTCCATATAATGTTTACTCCTTCGCATTGCGGCTAAACGATATCTGAGACATTCTATTTTAAAAAGACAATATTCTTCCTCCTCATTCTGTTCTCCATCACTCGGACTGGACTCTGAGTTGTATTCGCACCCTTCATCGCTATCCTCCCCTTCCTCATCGAACTCTTCAAACCCCTCGCCATTGCCGTCATTGCCATCAGCGCCGTCTTCACCGTGCGCATCCTCGTCATTCACAATATCCATGGTGTCAGACTGTGTTGCTGACTGAGAGCCAAAGCAGTCCCTGGCTATTCTGCGCAAAGCAATTGAATGGCCAACACCCAAGTGCGTATATTGCATGAACATGTCTCTATTGACAAATCTGGCCCCAAAGTTAGAGGTCTTTTTTTACGAACTGTTGAATATTTACACTTACATTCCAACATAGTACTCCTCCCAGTCGTCTAGCTGTTCCCCAGGGTGCGCTAATGATTTTCCTTGCCGAAGCGAGCTTATGCCACGTCCAGAGGCAAATGTGGGAAGCAGGTGAGCTCCTCGAACTACTTGTCCTGGGTCAAGGAATCCAAACACATCCGGATCAGACTCCTCCACAAAAGCAATCTTTGGAAGACGGGCATGCCTGGTGCCAGATCTATAGCCCTGAAGCACTGCCAGCCATCGGACCCACAGAACCTCAAGGCGCTGTTTCGAAGGCTTGCTCCCACCATTGCCAGTGAGCCATACCTCCGTGTGATAAATACCTAACACTCTCGCATACCAGTATGGGTGGCTGGGCATTGACTCGCCTGAAAGCACCATAACATCGCCATGAGTTCGGGGGTTAATGCTATCATATTCGCGCCTTAAGTCATAAGTAGTGTAGCATATTTGCATAGTCTGAACTGAATAGATGGTGTTGTTGGGAATGATCACCACATTTCGTTCCTCATCCGTAAAGGTGTGGTCGCAGTAACTGATGTCCAACCTGCGAAGCCTATAAAGAACGTGGTCCCTCAGTTTGGGGATGAAATTCTGACCGCCTTCAGTCAGTAAAGTACAGCTCAGGTCCATAAGCTTTGTATCTACCTTGATAGCGGGATCGCCCCTCATTTTCTCACAGAAAAGCGAATAGACGGACTGGATTGTTCTGAGAATTGGATATATGGTGATGTATTTTCAATGAAGGGGGGGCATCCGCTTGCGATTGGTTGCTAGCGGAGGGTACGGTTCCTCCTGCCTTTGCTACATGCTGTAGTACACATCTCCTGCATTCGTGTTTGGCTAATTGTGCTGACGTGTCTAATTTGTTGGTCAGCAGGTAGAATGCCCTAAGGGCTCTGTGGGCAAGTTCTGCCTATTCAAACTTAACATCAGGCGTATAGTGGCAGGAAGACACAGCACTCACTATTTGAGTAGTAAAGGAATCCATCGCCCTGAAGAGCCTGATAGTTCTCGCGTAATCTCCCATCGCATGGAATTTATATGTCAGTAAATTATACTTCTTGACCCTTGCCCAACTGGGCTCTTGAGAAGCGTTGCCGTTTTCAGAACGTTGGGCAGCCCTACGTTGGCGCGCTGTCTTCTCTCTGGGTAATTCAACAGTAGTCAAAGCGGCACAGGTATAGTTTCAAAAATTCCGTAACTTGCGAGAAAGGTTCTTGAAAGTGTCTTCGAGAAAGGTTATCGTAGAGTCTGAATGTATCCTAAGTTTCGCGAGCGCGTGCCATTGTGCAAACCGATAAAGTAGTGATTGCACAATCGTGTCATGGTCCGGGGGGAATAGCCCTTCAAACACTGGAATAGCACACTAATGGCGGAGAGCATATCAGCAAATCAAGCGCTAAGGTTACTAAATGACTCAAAATACCTGTAGGATATCTTCAAAGTCCCGTGCTGCTAACCGTTTCATCTCAGATGTGTTGTTCGAAAATTTGCGAATTATGCCATTACCGAACGTTGGGATCTCTCGAATATTGCCAGCCCATTGGAGTTAGTAGGTCGCAGCGCCCCATACAAACTTCTCCTACCTGCTATCAAGGAGGGCAACCAGCTGGCTACCCTGTGGAAGGGCATAAAGAAGCCTGATTAGATGTGTGAATAGCGACTTCCAAGTGCCCAGTTCGCACTCGTGCATGAGGTCCACCACAAGCATGTGAAAGGGGTCTAGGCTGAACTTTCCAAGCTTGTGCACGAATTGATTCTTCCAGTAGACAGTTTGAGTTGATGAAAAAGCACCAGAAGTCATCGCGCTCACCAAAATAGGCACCCATGAGCCCTCTCCGAGGGTATTTTCCACCTTTGCACCGTCTACCGTATGTCCTGATGCGATAAATTCACGAGCCTTAGTAACCTTGGACATAACGTATGTTCGAAGGTTGGCTACACAGCTTTTCATGTCTCTCACCAGCCCAAGAGAGCTGAACAAGGCTTTCAGCGTGAAACAATGAGGGCAGGGACATGAGCCCATATCCTTGATAGTAGCAAGTAGAACCCTATAAATTGATGCACAATTCAGCATTCTTGACGACACAGATTAAAATATGTACTTTTCTGGATAGTCGGCCAAGTATGTAAAGAGCCGGGGAAAGACCCTCCGTAACACACCGTCAGCACATTTCAAAACGATGCCATGGTGGGAAGCCTCGAGGAAATCTTCATCCAATAAGATATCCCAGCAGGAATGAAACAATTCCCTGCGGCAATAAGTGAGAAGGGATACCATACCAGTTTTTGAGATGTGACACACGCCGCTCAGAACGTCCTTGATACTGTCAGGAACCTAAATTTGTCAATCACAGTAGAGAAACATGCTAGCTTCAACAAAACTTACCGATGGCAAAAATCCTACGAGGTGGCATGCCCCCGATTGGGGCGACGACCGTGCGTATTTAGTCAAATTCCCAAAATACACGTAGAGTGGCCAGGCCTTCGCAGTCCCAAAATTTGCCAGATGGGTGGCGTCAGAAAAGAACATCAAACCAGCGATGACGCGCTCTAGTGAACAGCCAGGCTCCTTTGGGAGCTTCTGAAGGCCATCCTGAGCTTCCAACCAGGTGTCGGAAGTGTAAAGCTCACCATAGATCCGCTCCTGATGTCCCGAGTCCCCCAAAGGATCCCTCCACAACCACTGAAAAGGCATGAGATGGAACACCCTTGCTTGGACATCCGCAAAAGCCACATGTATCACGTTGAGAAGCGGGCGATAATGAAACCCGGGAATAATGTAGGGGAGAAGACCTTCCTCCCATGACTTGGTTGGGATGTTAATAGTGACATCGGTCTGTATCCAATCATCTGGAAAAGAAATGCCTTTCCTGTTCTCCTCTTTGTCCAATTCTCGTAAGCTTCGCCTCACAGAAAAGTCCTCAAGGTGCTTGCGGTCGAAGTCCTCTGCCAGGATAACGTCCTTGACCAATTGAGAGACTTTAGTTTCGGATAATTGAGTGCTGCCGGAGTTCATCCAAGTTATAAGCCGGTAGATGGTCATATCAGCAAAAGGAAAGGGCGGTGCTAAGATGTTAGGTGGAGAGTCTGTTGTTTGGGCTATGGGAGATGTCTTTGCAAGTAGTGTAGATGGGATAAATTTATCTGGTTCAAAAGAAGGACGGCGAGGATATAGTCGGGAGAGTCCAAAGGCGTTGAAGGTAGTCTGGAGCGTGTCCCTTAATGTTAAAATAACACGTTGAAGTCTGAATCGGGCTGGTTGCGGGGCAGAACTTTGGACTGTTGAGCTGTTAGCATTGTCAGAAGGATTAAGATCTTGGTCTGAATGCTCGACGTCAACGAAAGTTCTCGGAGTTCGTCTCGACGGAGGTAAGTTTTCCTCTAAAATGATTTGAGCTATGTCCAAGGCAAGATACAAATACTAGCCAAAGAGACACAAACCTGAGCCATAGTCCAATCCTTGTCTAGAATCATCCCTCATTTCAATGTCAGCACCATCCTCACCTGACTCATGGGGGCGCCAAGAGTTTTCAGGAGAGTTGGCTCGGGAGGCACCGTATGAATGATGTGCCATGGACGCTGGCCCAAGAAGCTTGCAAGGGGCAATGGGTTTCAGACTGGGACGGTCCCTCATACACCAGACAGCTGAGATTCGCTGAAAATGATGATACTAGATTAGTATAAGTCTGAAGCAACCTTGAAAGGCCACCCACTGATGACGCGCTAGCCCCAGAGTTTGGGAGTGTACTTGAAAAAGCTGCCTCTTTTGCGTGCTCTTGTCTCTTCTGACTGGCAAGGGTGCTGCATCTCTTATAGAAAGGACAAGCTAAACGATGTCTAGTGAGTGCTCGAATGTCTGTCTTCCGTTCCCACAAGCAACCGGGAGCCTGGCAAGACACCATCACTAGTAGAAAAAGCAAAAAAATCCGGTCCAAAAGGTTTTAGAAAAGTGCATGGCAGCACTCTAGCCTGCAATGTAGGACGACCTGGTATGAGCGCTCAGGCCTCAGGTCTTGGCAGAGTCTAAAACCTAACCTGATGGAGTTGCCCGCACCGCAGCTAAGTTCGTTCGATCTCTTGAAAATATAACTTAGTAGAAGTGCCACCGTACTTTGTTCTGACAAGAGAGGGAAACAAACTCGAAATACTGTAAGAGACATGAGTATTAAGTTTGAGTTTCAATTATGGTGGTTGAGATGGCCTGGTGAAAGTGGGATTGCTGTCAGTGATGTTCAAGTTGGTAAAATGATGGGATATCAAAAGAGCTGTGTTGATTGGGCCTTAGGATTTTGCCGTACATGGCGTTAGCGTGACTGACATCGGTAAGTCACATTCCCTTCAACCTCGTACTAGCTCATATGTCTCCGTCCAATGAAGACATGCCCTCTGCACCCAATGCACCACCACTACAGCAAATTCATCTCTTCCCTGCTATTCCATATCCTTTAGATACACTCTCCCTTGCCATCACCTACCTCTCTTCTCCGAACTTCCAGCTTGACGAACTTGAGTCCCTCCTCTCCTCTCGCTTCCTCTCTCTAGATGAAGGGCCGGACTTCACCCCTACCCTTGCAAAGAATCAGCAGCATGATTCCTTAACAGGCCTTCCAGGTAGTCAACCATTGCACGCATCTCTTCTAAACTCACTGCCGTCTTTAATTACAGATCGTTTTGTTCTCCCTGCCCAAAATTCTCACTCACGTACAAACTCCATGCCAGTCAGCCAGAGTCTGCATTAGTTGTCTGCTTCTGCAACCAGAAGCGATAGTGCGACCGGTGATCGAAATTGTCAGTCGAAGGGAGTGAAATTATGTGCGGTACGTTGAACCAGTATATTTTAGAAGAATTTGCGACCAGTGATTAGATGGTTACTTACAAAACTCTCAGATGCCCTAGATGACTCCGGGTCTGCAAAGCGCACTGTTTGAGGATGACGATTCTTGCAGATGATGCAGGCAAAAATGTCTTGAGAAGGCGAACTTACTATGATGGCGACCTCAACTTGTCAAGCCCTATTTTCTGAATGGGGTGACCCACATTTAAGGTATGCCTCAGAATCAGGCCAATTTGAACTGACCAGTTTCTGAAGCTCCAAGTTCAAGTTGTGCAGAGTCTTGTGCTAGGCACGCATTCGACAGATGGTATGTAAGTTAAGCTCCATGATTTAATATTGACTCGTGCGAATGATACTGGTAAGTAGTCAACCTGATACCGATTTAACATAATCCAGACTAATACTACTGCATAGTCACCAGGCCAACTCGGTCATTCTTGTCATAGCCTCCATCATCCTCATGAAGACCGTATCATACCACCGCCCTTTCCTCAATGACCATGACTGCTCGTCTTTCTTCGTCGTACTTGACGACATCGAAGACCGACTGCCAGTCAGTACCTGTCTTCTCCCTACGGATCATGATGTGCTTCACCGCTGGTGCAGAACTGGGACTTGGTGATACAAGTAATAGTAGATCCTTGTCAGACCAAAGTGTAAGCAACCGTACTACTGTTGGCGCAAGCTTCTCGCGATGAGTACTTACTACAGATTTTTGATCCTTCTGAGTCACGTTCAGACTGGTCGAACACCCAGACTGCGCCTCTGATTTTTGAACCATCGTCGCATCATTATCTTGACGATTGTGTTCGAGTTGGCATGACTTGAGTACGTCCAAGTTGGATTGGTTGTGTGCCATCATGAACTCGGACACGTCCTCCGAAGGATTGAGCGAACCAGACTCGAAAGAGGGCTGACTTAGACTTGAAGTAGTGGAAAAGATTGCATCTTCAAATGCATGATCGGCATCACAGTGATAAGGCATAGTGCTAAGATGACTGCTAGAGGTAATTTTACACCGTTCGAAAAAAGGCAGGTGGTCAACGAGGTTTTTATACCAACTGTCGCAGTACAGCGGCCCTGACACTATACTGTGGCCGTAGAGCATATTATGCAGCAGGTGGTAGTGCCCTATGGCACCATGCCAAGTTTGGTATGTAATCGACGAGAAGACAGCACGTGCAATCCTTTTGAAACTCCGGACATACCAAAATGGAATAGTAATTTCATGAACATTAATATGAATTGTATCGTGAATACACATGTAATACGATTAGGTACTCTGGGGTTTTTGTAATTAGCATTACTACCACCAGTTCTACCTGTGATTTATTAGTACAGAGACTCATTATATCATGACCATCAGTATAAGCAATCGCACTGCAACTCAATTGCTTTCTTGCTCGTCTGATGCACACATCTAACAACGAGTCTGAACACAGTATATCGGAAATCGGCGAGGAAGTGCCCTTTCAAACTCCAATTGGCCTATTAAACAATGATTACCTAGTAACACTCATGTAGCCCACAGTCGCTTGAAAACCACCCATGAAAAAAATGAACTTGAGCTCAGCCGCTACTAGTACTTTCTGCGATGAAAAGCCAGCTATTTGTTGCCCCTATCCTGCCATTACTCAGGCCAGCTATGACAAGTCAAAGCTCTCTTCTCCCTCAAATTTGCCTCCAAGCTCTCCCCTGTCAATTGGAATATCAGGTATGGATGACTCCCATAGTATCATGGTGTTTTCTGGATAGACTCAAATATTATAACTGGCAGAGTTCGGGAGTATGGTCTCAGAGGAGGACGACAACTTCCCTGTGACACCTGATTCCAAGCAGTCCGGGGGTAAACACTGCCCCACTGCTGATATCTCCGAGTCTCACCACCATGAATCAGGTCATACTAGCAGCACTCCTGAATCAAAGAAACACGCCAAACTCTACCATCCTTATTCCCACTGGCGGCTGTTGTCAGGAGACAGATACCATGATTGTGCCGAGCAAATCTGGCGCAGACAGTCATGTCACCAGTACTCGGAAGGTATGAGCATCGAGGTACGCCATGTATTGAACATATATAGTTCCTATATATAATTATTACATCTGGCATGATAGGATCAGGAGGCGTTGTCGAGAGCTATAAAGGATATGAGCCCACACACCTTCCACTGCGCTATTCACTACAAGGAGGCAGTTCGAGAAACTTTGCGCATGGAATACTTGTACAGGGGCTGGCTGCTTGAGACGTCAAGAAGGTTGAACATCTTCAACGAGTCCTTACATCATGAAACGGAAACGGAGTTTGGGAAGGTGGATCAAGAATTGCAGTGGCTAGTGCATGTGCTTGTTGACCGGGGGGAATTGCCGCGCACGACTGATGATGTCCAATATATTACTGCAGCTTGAGAAAGCAGCGGGAAAGCTCTCATTCATGCTGATGCTGAGATTGGTATATTTAAACAATTTTCCATTGGAGATACGGATGATCGCAACAACAAATTGGAAGCCAGCCAAGTTACTGCTGTGTTGTAGTCATAGTAAGTCCCCCATGTACTATGATTAAGTCACCATTACTTATATCATTGACGTATTTCCAGGAATGTATTATTTCCACTAGCCAATTTGAATGGCTGTGCCTTGCTACTTTTGTTGTAATTTAGTTTGCTGTTTCATAAATGGGTTGCTTCCTATCGCAGAACTGTTCTGACTTTGATCTCAAGTCCCATCTTTTACCACTGACCATCCATCATGATGTATCCTGCTGGCAATGCTAGCTATAGTGACTTCAAGCACACAGTGTTAGGGCACAGTATTGATTATGATTCTGAGAACATCAACTCACTCTTCTCCGATTCTCATAGACAACCTGAAGTTCATGGTGCTACTACTAGCCATCATTCATCTGACTCTCTCTCTGGCAGACTTGATCCCAGTGCGCCAGCCGCTCAGATTCAGCTCGACTCCTTCGACATCCAGCATCATCACATCTCAATGCAACATCCAAATCAGTCTCCAGGCCAGCATGACTTCCTCTCGAGTCATTCACCACTTTCATCCGGTCCGTCATGGTACCCAGGTGCAGCCGCCATGCAGCATGCACCGATGTTCGCACCCTTTCCAACCTTCGGCGAAAGTCATCAAGGCAATGATTTGCCTCCCCCAATCTCATATGATCATCCGCTACCAGGTGCTGCCGCCATGTGGCAAGCACCAATGTTCACACGCTGTAGGACTTGGAGTCCTTGTAGCCTCGTAGAGGCTATTTTTATGGTATCCCTCAGCACCCTATTACTTTCCTACATGAAGCGCAGCTTTCCCGCGAGTCGCGCATAGCAGCCGCTACTTTCCCGCGACGGCTGCAACGTTCCCACGCGCGCGCACAGCCGCGCTTAGCGGCTGCTTTTCTCGCACTTCATCGGCCGACGCTCCACACCCATCCATAGTCCAAAACCAACCCAATGGTACATTGTTTCATGATTATATTTACATATCAGACCATTTTCGCATCGGACCACCTTTATTACATATAGCTTTACATATATAGCTCAGTAGCACGTCGGCTCAGTTCCACATGACAGCGCTTAACGCAATACTTAAGCACTAGCAGTACATATCATTCAGTAGCTTGTTTTCTGGACGTTCCAGTAGCAAACTCCCATTAGCCTACAGTTGGTAGCTATTGGCAATCAGTATCTGTTTACTGCTTGCATTGTATCAGTTATCACTTTGCTCTACATCTATCTCTATTTTCTATCATCTCTATTATCATCCGAATCCCTCGCGCATCGGCCGCTTCGCAGCTGCGTCTTTCCCGCGCCTTCGGCTTTCGCCCGCCGCTACGTTCCCGCGCTACGCGCGCGCACCCGCCGCTTTCCCGCGCTTCGCATCGGCCGACAAGCGGCACCTTCTGCGTCCATTTCTAGACCTTTGCTGCACTAGCTTCCCCTTTAGGGTCGAACACACTTGTTCCGCAAGTATAGCAGATAGGCAGTGCATGACCTACAACATAAAGATATCAGTTTGGAGCCTATAGCACCACTCTGAGTTGTAAACCTACAGCGCTTTCCAACCTTCGATGAAAACTATCAAGGCCATCATTGGCCTTCATCATCTGATCACGTGCCTCCGCCAACCCTCGACAATTACAATGGAACTTTGCTTCCACCATTCATAGTCCCGTCCCAGGATCCCATCTGTTTGAATGATTTGGCATCGCTGCCATCAGCACTTGCCGATTATCGGCGCAATTTTTCTCCGCCACTCCTATCTATGGACGGTGTCACTATGCTACCACCAGCAGCACCGGATTATATACAACCACAACCCCTCACAGCGCTGAAACATCCCCATCCCCAAACTCAAAAACGCGATGACGGTCTGTGGCGATTTGTCACATGCTCAGGTCAGCGACAAAAACCATTCGAAACCCCTTCAGTAAGTGCTCTTCCTTCATAAACTAATACATGTGCTCATAGTAGTGAAGCAGTCAGCGCCTTCTAGCACAACGCCTTCTCACCCTACCCCCACTCAGTCTATGCAGCCACAGATTGACCTTCCGCCTCTGGATTACCAATCTAATCTTCCAATACACAATGCCTTCATTCTCGCTGCGGAGAAGGAGCTTATCAGCAGCGCTGTCAACAATTGTACCATGATAAAGCCCTCGTTAAGAGAGGGCTTGGTCCAAGCCGCATTAGTAAATGCAGTCCAAAGCTGCTTGAAGATCACTCGATCTGACCCGGCCGAGTTGGCGAAAAAAGAAATTGAAGGTAAATTGAATATCAGATTTGGAGAATGGATCGCTGTAAATTTAACAGAATTTGGTCAACGTTGGGCGGAAAAAAATGCGGGATTATTGTACATGAGTCTCTCCGCACCGTTTAAAATTTTAATGGCAGCTTGTAAAGAGCTGGCATTTAGCGTTGTTGATCGAGGCTACGATCTTCGACCCTCGCTTTGGTCGAACACATTGGAGTCAAAGTGGAAGCAAAAGAAAATCAAAAGCCTCATCGGCAATGCAACCTGGCCTCTCAAATTTCTCTTCAAGAAGGATGAAGAGACTGGTCAATGGATGGCATTCGAGCATGACACGCTTCTAGATGTGGTTCTTGGTGTAGTGAGGAAACTCAAATATCGGCACTACATCCGTGATCTGGATAATCTTTATTGCATGGCTGCAGCTGCAATCTACTGTGTTTTAATGCAGTTTTCTTCCAGAAAATTGGACCGTGAAATCGAGTTTTCGACAGAAACTTTCAAATTCATTTATGACCTGTCGAAGCAATACATCGCGAACGTCATCCAGAAGAACAAGAAGTTGGCAAAAAGATGGTCGGATGTGAAGGCCCGCACCATGACTAGATTAGCTGACATTGTATGACTAATGACTACTACTATAGTAGAACTGGGACTCTGAAATTGTAGGTCTACCGCAATACCATCCACCGTGACATATTGTAAGAACGTAGCGATTTGTATTGGTGTCGACGCCATGTGCGTGCTCAATGTTGTCAATGTTAACTTCAGACTGCCCGTTTGTATACGGTGTCACGTGACCTTTGAAAAGGCAGTCCCAGGAGAGACAACAGCAGCACTGGCAGAAAAGACCATGAGTTCATTAATTTCCTTCAAACAAAAACTGCTGTACTAATGATATATCCTACATCCAACTGAGTCATTCATCCGTACACCCTGCTCTCCTCCTAGCCCTGACTCTGCCTGCCTCTGGACCGAACTCCCCATTACAATGCTCACCAAGATGCTCAGCCAGCCACCGTACCATGTCTGTCCCTTCCCTACCAGTACTAGACTGGCATAGTCGCCCAATGGGTGGCAGGACCCGGTTTGCAAGGTGGTACTCGTGATCTAAGGTGAGCTCCAATTTTTACCTGAGACTGGAGAAACTCACCGAATTAGTAGCAGAACTTGAACAGGCATTGATCCCTGGACATCGGGGAGACATCATTCTTGCTGCTACAGGACAGATATCAGAGAACCAAAAACCAACGACGAAGCCCGCAAGCACGCTAGTACCACCCATGGCAGACATTGAGTCAAAATGTGCCATGCTTCTGCAGTGTAAACCTCCATGAGTTGTTGGAGACATATCAAGTAAGCTTTTTGCGACAGGAATATTTGAGCGTGCAGGAATTGAAGAACTCCTAGGCTCTGATGCATTCTCATGCAGATCTAAGTCATTCACCATATTTTTCGGTCCGTCCAGCATTTTAGCACCCTTTGCTATCGCACTCATGCTAATGTTAATGCCCAAAATAGGGTATCTTTCAAGCGACATATATTACACTGACATTTTTGGCTTCCTCTGAATTTGGTACTCACTTACAGGCCCTGACCAGCATATAAGACGCAAGCTGGTTAGCTTTCAGAACCCTCATCTCGCACCCTCTCCTCTGAGTTACCCATTCGACCATTTTCTCCCTTCCCATCTTTCCCTGTCTCTATGTCCGATGCCGAGCACGGTGCATCACCTGTTATGCACTCAAATAGATCTGTTAGGCGGAGCCCTAAGAGGGGCGTCGTCCACTAATGTTCGTGACGTAACCGGAAGGATCCGGTATAGCAAGTGAGGCTGGCGACGACGAGTCAGCAGCGATCACAGTACACGCGTGTCACGTGACTTCGTAGACGGATGTCACGGAAGTCACTCAAGGTAAGGACTGTCTTGTCCGAACGATGAGGTCGATCGAGGTAGACTTAGCCGCGATGAGCGACTAAGAAAAGATACTAGAGACTGAAGCTGAGGGGGCTTCAGAGGGAAGTATGTTCCAGGGAAGATTGAGTAGATTCAAGTTAGAGAATCTAGTACAGGGTGACCGACTACTTATACTAAGTGGAGAGGGTTAAGGGCAAGGCTACCACACAGTAGGTAAGGGTAAAGGGGATACGAAAGTGGTATAGGTGCGTTGGCAACACAGCCGGATTAGTGATGGTTGGTCGAATGTGGAATGAGACCGAGAAACATTGGAACGGACCAACGGTAAGAATACAACGTGCGGGAATCCGCAGTCAGGGGAAACAGAAAGAGGAAAGCCACATTGGTGGCACGAGTCAGACCGAGTCATAGGTGCGGGACCACATTGGTGGTCAAATCAGGGGAGGAACGTGCGTGCACGTGCATAGAGGCGGGCGATGCGAGGGACGGGAACGGTCCCGAGGATCTGGTCAACGGAAAGGCGGTAAAGGAGGACGAGCCGGTAGATGGTGAGGGCGAGGATGAGGGGAAAATGATAGGGGGGCCACGTGACCGATGTTACTTGTAACATCACCCATCGATGAACTACCTAACTCGGAGGGCTTGGGCAGTGTCGAGCACCAGCAGGCTGAGGCCAGCCACAATCAAGCAGTAATATCTGCACAGGCTCGACAAAGACGGAGGATCGCGCAGCTGGAGGAGAAGCTATTGGCTCTCAAATCAGGGTGTGCCGCTAAAGAAAGGTATGACCTCTGTTACAGTTGTTGAGTTTTGTTTCTCACTGTAGTGTAGGCAGACTAACTATTACGTGGCTCAAGGAAGAGCAATTAGATGTATGGTTGCTCTTTTCAATAGCCTTGAGGATCTAGTTGCCGAAAATGACCGGAGGTATGACGTTGAAGAGGATGCAGAAACTACCACTGAGTAAGTCTTTCCCTAGGTGTGTGAGCGTTACTCATTGTTTTATATAGTCAAGATCGGTTGCAGATAGGCTACATTACGTTCACGAATACCTTGCGGTGGTTCTTCAAGAAGGCCACAGAGCTGGAGTACGAAGAATATGCACAAATGTTAAAAATGGTTCATTTGCATTATGTCAATGATCATCTTACTTTTACTGAACTATGTTTTCAGCTTCGGCAAGGGGCTGATGCTGCTCAAGGGGATGATACCTCCAAACTGAAGGTTCTCGTTTCCGAGTGGGTCAACTGTGAATTCAAGCCCGATCCTCTGGTCGATCCAGACGACAAACATTCGTGCGGGTTTACCAATGATGCATGTGGTAGGCTACTTTGTTCTTTGGAACTTGATTGGAACAATCCAACGTAAGTGGTGCGCTTAGAATTCCGAGAAAATCACTCACATGTCACCAGTGTAAAGGCAGGCATTCGAGATTGCGCAGATGGCCACATCGTAACCGACCTCTCCTTTCCAGCATTTGTATATGAAAAATACACTGCAAAACCTGATGATCTGGAGGAGGGGCTATTCAAGGGAAAAATCCTTCTTCAGGTATGTGGCCCAGCGATAGCCTGGAATTGATCTCAGTTGTTTTCCAGGCATACAAAGCAGTATTTACGTCACCTTCCTCAGCTAAAGACGTCGACGGCGATGGCGATGGGGTTGACATCATTCAAAACAACCAACGCACTAGGAAATCCTTCAATGGACTCAAGGTCAAGAAGCATGTAGCGCAGATCATCAAGATGGAGAAAGTTACCCCTCGGTCCATTGCATACATAATTTGCCAAGTAAGTCATATCATCGGTCATATTGATGGTATCTAATAATCAAGCTGACAGGTCCGATTTGCACTATCTTCAGTCACTTCCTGGCGATCCATTGACGGAGACTTCGACTATGTCCAATTTTGGCAGACCATTGTCGACTTCTTTGAAAAGGCTCCTGGTCGAGAAGCTCAGTGCCGCATAGATAGGCTTCTGGAGTGGTGGACTAGGTGCATTTTTGACTGTCCCAGCAAGCCTTAATTGAACTCGCCATTGAAAGGTTTTTGGAAGGAGTCACTGTGATGACCTCAGCCAAGTAGTAAAGGACAATATGTCTGTAAATGCTCTTGCAAGGCAAAGGGCAGCACGCGACGATGCTGCTTTCGACTCGCCGTAGGACTTGAACGTACTTGACTGTCATCATTTATAGCAAGTGATCTGTAGCACGCTTTATATTCATAATTTTGACCTAATGTCATATATGTTTGAAATTTACTTCGTGTGATAAGGATATTACATCTGCAACAAATCTTTTTCGAATGAATCATTTTAAACTACAAGATCTTAAATGCACACATACAAAATCGCCCTTTGGAGTGCACAAATACAAAATTGCTGTGATGTATGACGCCGCATGCATTATCTGCCGCTCATTAAATGCTTGCAGTTCAATATGCGAGTCATGAATCACTCTCCCTATGTTCGATACCCTGAGTCAATGGAACATATAATGAGCTTTGTCTTGTCCGTATTTTCTAGTTTCGTAATAATAAGCCATCACAAATGGATGTCGGCGCCAAATGGTAAAATGGTTGTTGGGTGAACAAACTGTATAGCTGAGATCTCAAAGGCACACATACAAAATCTCTCCCTTTGGAGCACATCAATATGGGATCGCGATGATGTGTGACACTATGCGCATTATCTTCCAGTCATTGAATCCTTGCAGTTCGAGGTGCAAAAGATGGATCACTCCCCTTATGCTCCACACCCTGAGTCCATGAAGTAGAGGATGCGCTTTGTCTTCTCCGTGTTTTTTTAGTTTCGCAATAATACACTGTCACACATTAATGTTGGTGCCAATCAGTAAGGTAGTCTTCGAATGGACAAATTGTATAACTGAGACTAGACATTCAAGGCAGAATATGACTTGACTGTTGCTCGCTTGTCAACACACTCCGGTAGCTGTGCCAACGTAATATTTCTTCCCGCAGATTTCAAAGTGCAATATATAATATGATCATTGCATACTTACAGAAGGTTGAATGGCAACTTGAAGTATAATATAGGTAGACTGTCATTTGCTCGCTGAAAACCTGAACACATCTTCACATGGATCCCCAACTGCAGTTTACAAAACCACTATTAGATCATCAAAGAAAATGCTGTCAAAATTTCAAATAGCACACATTTTGTTTGTCACTTGCTTTGGTGAGCACGTAGTTGTTCTCTGGAAGATGCCAGCACTTGGGACTACCCTGGACGTTGACCAGTAATTGATGAATATCCCTGCATTTTGAACAAGTGGTATCAACATAGAAGTAGAGTAAAGATTTTTGTGATTCGCTCCATGAACATACCTCGGCTACTGTGCAAACATGATGTTTCTTTGTACAGATAGCTAACCGCATCACACAAGACAATTGTTAGACAACTGATCAGGATGGCATTGATTTTTTGAGAGCAACAAAAGTGGTATCATCATTACTTGCGTATCACTAGTTTGTTCTCTGGAAAAATGCCAGGTTTCGTTCTTAACTTTGACATTTTGGACTTTGCTTCCTACATGGCTATTATAATTCATCCAGTTTAAGTATCTGAGTTTGCTCTATCTTTCCTTGAGGCTTGATTTTGAGGGATGCGGGGGTCTTTTACTGATCACAGACTTGTGTGGAGAAATCAGGAACTCTTCTTGCCTCTATAAGGTCAAACATGCCATTGTAACGATCGGTAGCAGAATTATGCAGATGCTTGTGATTGCATACTATATATTGATATATATGACATTCTAATTTGTCCCTCGGTTCACTGATGATTGTTGACCATTTTAAGAAAGTACAACACTTCTGACCAACTTGAGGTGAAAGATGATAAGATCGCCATGATACTTTCTCAGATCCGCGAATATCTTTGGTCTCTGCGTCGAAAGGAAGGTACACGAACCAGTACGTAACTACATGGTCCGGCCCCATGGATATTGCACATCTTCGCAGATGCTCTAACTATTTCTGCACCAGACACATTCGACAGGATGTCATACCTTGTATGCATGTCCTGCACCCTATGCAGTTTGGACTCGGTTCGGAAGATGGTGTGGCAAACTACTGTCGATTGCTAGCTAGTAATCGCAGGTCTTCATTCATGCACTAGATCACTGTATTTGAAGTCAATGTCCATAGCAAGTGCACTGATTGTAGGAGAACTCCTGTTTTGTCTTCTCATCTAAAACTGGTTTTTATTTCTGACGATCATTCAAAAGCATGATGCTCGAGCAGTGTGTATATAAATATGCTGAAAGTTTCGGGTGATGTTTAGGAGCCCATATCCATACGTACACGTCTGTTTGAAATTCACAAGTAGCACTAGGACGACTCGATTGGGGTAAATGACGAGGTTCATTCGTCCCATGATGAGCTCAGTCCTACTAGAGCTCGAGACTAGACCGCATCGCAAAGTGTGTGTACTGGGATGAAGATGTTTTTTTTTCGAGTGGAGTCGATTTCAATACCATCCAGCAGAAAAGTTAAAGCCTGAGCCTGTAATACAGATAGATCAGCACACTGAGCCAAAAATGATTATGCGAGGCGTCCGTCAGAGATGATAAAGCAAGCGGATAAACCTTCTTTGCCTGAAGATGACGTTGACATATCGGATGTGGACTTTATCGTTGTCAGTAGTACCGAGATCAAGATATTGTAGGATTCGCATAGTCACTCATGTGTCATGCTTTCAAGTCAATGAAGCATCTCCATACATTCAAGGGTCACTCTACAAGATGCACTGGGTAGACAGCATTGAAATTATAGGCGCAGAACTTGAAGCAACCGCACTGACTCTGAACTAGGTAGTACTACTGCATCATCAACGTTCAACCACGGCACCAACATTCAAGCTGAAGCATAACTCACTATAGCGACATGCTGCTCTGGCTGTTAGTACCTCACTTGTCAGGAAAATCGCATGTTTGAATGCCATCCTAAATAATACAACGCGAGGGTCAGTCACGTTGCCGAATCCTGGATGCAAAAATCCTACTCCTACTCACATACCATACACATTTCATGCCAAAGCAACATTGATTGTCATGGATGCAAGATGTATGTTGCTCGAGGCATGCACTGACGACCGTAGATGCTGTCAAAGCAACGATGATGGCGAGGAAGGAGAAATGCATTATTGTGCGAGATGACGAGCCTTCTGCTAGGGTTATCTCGACTAATAACTCTGAGGACTGAGGTACACAGTAGGAAGACTGCTTACTTTTATATCCTGAGTGTACTAGTAATGGAAGACCCAGGAGTTCCGATCGGCTTGGAAGAATAGCTATCGCCATTGAATGGTACAAATTTAGGCAAAACCTATGGGCTACAAATTACCCCATGGTCAGTGACTGGTGCAGTTTGAAATTGTATATCCGGTATTTGCCTTTTGCTCACCTCATGCTTCCGTGCATATTTCTTACATACACTCGTCCAAGTTGTCATGTTCTGCAAGGCACTGCGATGGTCAGGGCTTTCTCCATGGCCGCAAATAATCTGTCAAGCGTCTTGTGGACATCCTCTAATGGTAAGTGTTGTAACCTTAGATCCCCGCAATGTTCGAAAAAAAGCACGAGTTACCTTCCCATGGGTCTCTGATCGGGTTGGTTTTGTCAACGAGGGCTGCTGGCAGTAATAAGCATAAATGCACCAACGTAAGGACAGAAAACAGCTACATCTATATTACGACGCCTTGCTTTTCTCCTGAGCTACAACATAGAAGATAGGCGTTCGCTTCAGATCAGCATGATACAACATATATTTATACAGCGATTCCGAACTTCAACTTGACCTAATTCTGACTCGGCCGAAAACGAGCGAACTCCTCATGTTGAAAAGGAATAAAATCTGCAGGATGATTGACCCCTTTGGACATTGGACTAGCGAATGGGCGAGTAGAGCGTCTCGCATTCTTCAGAGAAGCATGCCCGTATAACATTAAGCACGTGTATGAATAGTACTTGATAGATTTGTAAGATCAAGTCATACTGAGCTCCTCCAAGCTAGACAGTCCTCGCCAACTGGCGGGCAAATCGACCTGTCAATTTACAGACAAATTAGAATGAGAGCCGTCAATGATTGTCATCAAGATAACAGAAAAACACTGAAAGAAGACAAAAGGAGAATATCAAATGATCAACCATGTTCTAAAACCATCAGTGACCGTCGTCGTTGGACGGAGACAAACAGCAGAGGAACAACACAACACGAGCCCACCATTTGGAGGTGTCGACACGTTTTGCTTTGTCGCTAGCTCGTTCTGGCGGCCGAGTAACATACAGTGCCTGCAGATAGAAGTTGAGATGCCAGTCATTGATAACACATCCCTCAAACAACATACCTTTTTGTCATCTAGTGCAGGAATGTCGACAACAGGAGGACTAGGGCGAGAGGAAGTACTAAGTCCTATGCGTTGCTGGAGTTCGACGTGTTCATCGGTGTTTGGTTGGGAACGGTGGAAGAGTGAGGGAAGGCCAGTGAGGAGCACACGTGGACGTGATCCCCAGGATAGTGCAAAAGCATTGCGGAGGCAATGGAGAGATGGATCAGGATGGGTAGTGGAGGACTGAAAATATGAAAATCAGAATAACTTGTGCAGGTAAATGATGGTAACTCACAGGACCGCTGTCTTGCACATTATCAGAAAAGCCTTGTGGCACTCGACATGAGGCTGGACGGATA